CGCTTCTTGAAGGGAATTACCACAAGAATCACGTGCAAGAACAAACGTATCTACTTTTCCATACCTTTTCCCATTCCTTCGAAGGATGCCAGTGGAACCGCCAGAGCTCCACAGTTCTTGGCCGTCGTTATCGTGTTCATCGTCACGTCGTCGCGAACGAGTAAGAAGCATGGCCATGCAACGTAGAGGACCAGGTGGTGTTCCTTTTCTTTGGGAGGCTACCGACTGATGGAACATACATGAACATGCCACGGCAATGGTTCCAAGCTGGATCATGGTGGCTGTGGGGGTCACACACACAAGGATAGAACAACCCCTTTCCCCAAACCTGGCTGGTGGGTAGCAGAAAAACGCTCCCGCGTTGATCCAACATCCCCCCCCAACCCATGGGTTGCGCTTGGGGGGGCTGGTCAGGGCTCCAGGTCTCTATGGCAGCCCCTCTTCTTTGGCAAGTTGCTGGCTGGTCGTCGCCCAGGCGCTGGCGGTCGTTGACGGAGGAAACTCATGGTGGGTGCAGACTGGCGTCTACATCGAGACAAGGCAAATGTGATTCTTCAAGTCCGCCTCTACAACTATGACGTGATCTTGCCACACCCTCTAGCAACCAAACAGTGTGAACCGAGCCGACCTGAATCAATCACTCTTTAACGCGACGCAACACGTGGTTGTTGACTCGGGCAAGCAAGCTCAACTACGTGGCTCGGAAGCCGGGCGTTGACCGTTTTAACACCTCAGGCCAAATGACGTTGAGTTCCACAGACGCATCTTGGAAGCCATTCCGGAAAGCACCCATGGTGCTTCTTTGGGCGGACTGCTCTGATCCAGCGAGATTGCGACTGGGATGGACAAATCAACATGGCCCCAACCTACTAGCGATGGGCTCCACCCTAGTAGCGCGATCTGCTTTAGCGCCTCTTTGGGTTGAATCTCCGGTCAGAATTATACAATAGCCCTCCACATCCCTTTGCCCTTTAGCAGATCTGATCGGGGCATGTTTCCAAGTCTCTCATCAGCATGAACTCCTCTCCCATCTTCAAGGACGACGATTTCAGCTGTTCTTTCCGGTCCCGTTCCCCCCCGAAAACGCACCAACGAGCTCACTGCGCAGTGCCCCCAAGGCCGCTCTGTGCCGTTTCCGCCCTCTGCAGTCCTCTGCTGCTCCGTCCTCCGTCGTCCATCGGCCGCGGTCTTGGACGTCTGTCGTCTCGCCTTCTCGGCGGGGATGGAGGGATCCCAGGAGGGCCGTCCGTAGAGCGAGAAGGCGGAGCCATCCACGAAGTGCACCTCGTTCGAGAGGTGTCGGTGTGTGTGTGCTATTTATTGAGTTGGAGGCCGTCGCGCTACTAGGGTGGAGGCCATCACTAGTATAGAAACAAAGAAACAAAAAAAAGGACCAAAGGAAGAACAGGAAGAAACCGTGTCTCTGTGTCTTTTCTTCGTGGTGATTAGTCCTTAGGAGGGCGAGCTTGGGTAGGCAGCATGGTTTGGAGATGCTTGGAGCCTCAAGGCAAAAATGGTTGGCACTGCAGAAAGGGAATGCTGCTTCCATTTTTTTGGTGAAGACATGACCTATGCAGTGGGTGAATGAATGCCTGAAAGTCCTTAAGAGATCAACCAGCATGTTTTTGGGGTTCGAAGGGTTTTCAAGAAATTGCAGAAGCCTGATGACCTGCCACTCTGTGGACATGCTTTGGGTGTCTTCTGTTGGGAGAATCTGCAGAAAGTGGAGGAATCTGCGTCGAATGTCACTGCACCTGGTTCTGATGGTGAAGTAGCAAGATACTGGAAGGTTTGGGTTAACCACAGGTTCCTTCAGGGTGAAAGGGGTGAATCATCAGGGTGAATCATCATATGAGTGTGGACCCTGCAACTAAGACGTGGGAAGCATGGAAAAAGAGCAGCACCAATCCTCCCACACCCAACGTACGATCCTCGGAGCAAGAACCGCCGACCACGCCGCGGCGCTCCCGCCCCCGAGGCACCAGGATAAGCTCTTGGAAGTTTCCCAACCAACTACCGTAGTTGATGAAGCTGTTCCTTGCCAGTGCGGCTCAATGCGGCTGCGGATGGGTGGCAAAACAACAGAACCTCGTAGGACTGGCACGTTCTGCGAGACATGCAGCCGAGAAGCGTGGGTGTTCTTGGTTTCGCCGTGCGTTCGGTTCGCGCAACGACGAGTTCAAGGTGAGAGTCAGTGCAGTTGGGTGCTTTCTGAGACATCATACTTGGAGCTTCTCCTGTTGATCTACAGTTGTACTTTCTGAAAGATTAGTCTGCGAAGGAGGAGATATTATAGTCAGAGAGGCTTTGGAGGGCGGGCACCTTTGAATCTTTTGGAGTACTAGTCAGGACCCCCCCAAGCAAAAGTGCCCCGCCATCACTCGAGGATGATATAGAGCAAGCCCACAGAAAATCCTGAAATAGTGGAACCTAGCCGCAACGGCTGCATGATGATTCCACCACCAACTGGCAGGACTTTCAGCTATGACCAGCAACAAGAGAAACAGTTATACCGTAACCTCCCACAGTCATTTCCGGCCAGGTATTTCTTTGAACTGTCCGGGGTGATGTGCTAAGATTGGACAACATCAACAGCTCTGGGTGACGCGGAGGTTGAAGGTACAACAAAAAACTACAAGAAGAACAAATAGACCAGGAAGGTCTAACAGAAATCGACCCAAACCTGTGGAAAGTCCCACCCCACACAGCTCAGGCACCTGTCATTTCAACAGGATGGAGTATGCCATCAATGTACACTCTGACTCAGAATGGTCCTTGTAGGGGACTATGTCTTTGTCCGAGTGTGCTCTTTCCCTCGTTCTCCAAGGATCTCTTCATCGAAGACATGCCATCGAGGGATGGGAGGCAGATCCTGCCGGTCCGCCACGGTCGTCCGACCGTGCTGTTCGGGCAACAACTCTGCACGCCCAAAAACACTGCGGACCTGCTACGCTACGCGTGCTACGCTGCTAGTTGAGCAGCATGCTAAGACCGCTGAAGTCGTTGGAGCCACCAAGCAGGGCAACGCAGTGATTTGGGTTGCCATGTTCGGTGATCGGCTGAGGCAGAATGCCCAAATTCACTTCCAACACATGGGTGTGTATTTTAACAGGGAGACCCCGCAACCACAGGGGTTTTAGATGGTTTTTGGTCTAACTCTCTCTTCCAAGGTTCATTTGGAGGGTTTCCCTATATATGCCACAGGCGACACCAAGTCTTTTGCGCCTCAACCTTCAAAGAGATCCGCTCGGTGTAGTTGAGAAAGGCCGAGATCGCTCGCTGGTCGTGCTCCTGCAGGCCGCTGTCCACTCGTTTCGGACGTTGTTCCCAGTGGATGTTGCAGGCCAAGCCAATGAAGCTTCCTCTATTGGGGATATTTCTTATGAGACTTTGAAACACAAAGCTGCCAATACATCCACGTGTTTGTTGGGTGGGTCCTTAGGGCTCGAGCCCGCTTTTGTCCTTTTCCCCTTTCGTGTTCGGATCTCCTTTCGAGTCGCGAGTCGGAACATGTTTGTTGGGTGTGTGCAACACGCAGGGGGGTCAGACCTTCGTCAAACATGGGTCGCACATGCAGCGGCTTCTTTCTTCCTATCGACATGTGGAAGAGGTCTAAGACGTGAGGGAGGAACAGTAGATGAAACTCCATTCCAATCTACCAGCAATTCTGACCTTGAATGTATGTCAAGTTCAGAGTGCCTACAGATACTCCTATAGATGTATCTAGTGGATGTGCCATCGCAGCTACTGACCTACTTGGTATTCTACACTGGGCTGTTGATAACCCGCAACAAACCCACATCCACCAAAAGTTCGAAGCTCCAAGGAACCATAACTTATCACATGTCTCAGGTAGCCCCATACACTCTTCTTGGTGTTAGACAAGGTGGCCTGCTCCACACCGAAGAGGGCAGCTTCGCCCCTGCCCACGATTCACCCCAATCTGTGGCCCTCACATAGGGATGGTTGTAAAGCCATCGGAGCATCTCGAAGAGCCAGGCGTGGGTCTTCTCGTTGGCACCTCGGAGCTGTGCCGAACGCACCAGGTGAAGGGGTAGGACAGGCGGCTGGTGACCGCCCCCCCCTGCAGGCTGCAGGGGGATGAGCGGACCGGGGGGGTGGACCGTTCACAACACCACAAGGCACCCGTTCATCCAGCGCCAGTCACTGGGTTGAAACATAACCTCCAGACTATGGAAACAAAAGAGATCCCCAACAGTCTACATGATGTCTGGCGGAGTGCGTGGTGGTCCCAGTACCTGGTGGTGCGAGAAACCATGTGACCATCTGATGAAGTCACAGAATCATCAATGGCATAGTCTGGGCATGTTCTATTAGCAGCAAGAGTGGATGTGGATGTGGATAATTATGATGATGATGATGCTGCTGATGATGATAATAGTAATAAAGTGAAGGTCTTTCTCAAAAAACACTGAGATACTCTTGCCGACTGTTACTGGTAATGGGACACACCTTAGACACCTGAATGAGCCAATTGCAAGCCAGCCAATATCACCACACAGTCACTCAATCACTCACACTGCGGGGCGGTTCACGGGTAGGTTGAGCAGGTCGATCAAATGAAAAACCTCCTCAGCGAACGCACTTCTTCGCTGCGCCGAACCGGACTCCGACGCGGCCGAACGTGGCAGTTCTTGGCAAGCGAACGTGGTCCTATGTGGGATGATGCTGTCCAGTCCCTTTGTGCTGGACACGAAAAGAGGCAAGGAATCCTCCAAGAGGCAAAGCATTAGGCTGGAAAACACTTGCACCAAGAATCAAGGCAATGCAAACAGTTCAACCAGGATAAAATTTGTTGTCAATGAGATCAGTAATGCGTTATAGATGGAGTCATTCCGAACATTAGATCAATGTATAGATGTAAATATTTCTGGTCCACCGTTCTCGCCACATAGCACGCTCCAGTATTCATCCATAAATGGCATGGATGGGCTCTGATTCTCGGGAAAACGATGGAAAACGATGGAAAACGATGTTGTGCAACCCCTTCCCCGTACCTTCCCTAGCTCCCAAGAACAGGTCAGTGAATCTCGCACCACAAGGATGGTGGTGTAACACATCATCCTGGCGCAATTGAGTCATGGCAGGTCAGCCATGCAGGTCGGCGCAAACCGGGTCTTCCATGTCCAATCGTAGACGACGGGAGACCATGGATCATCCGGTGTGTCAAACCTTCAGGGTCTCTTCACCGGACGTTTGCCCAGCGATTGAATGCGGCAGTGTGCGATCCAATCGTGTGCCCAAACAAACGACAGCCCAGTGACGGATGAAGAAGAAGCCATTGCCTCGGAAAGTGGATGTTTTCTGTTGTTGACATTGGTCGAAGCTCCGTCGTTTTGGGACGTAGTCGAAGTCTCACCAGTCATGTCCGGGGCACCAAAAACCATGTCAAATGGTCAGGAGTGCAGGAGCTTGTTCTCATCCATGAAACCAGGTCACCTGCGGGACAAAATCGTTCTAGACACCTCTTGGGGGATGGTCATCATGGTCTTGACAGTCTACAGGAATCAGGGGCCGACCGGAATGGAATTTTCTTTGGTACTCTTCTGTGAATGCAACACCTTCTGTACCAGTTACAAGCAGGGCGTACACCCCCTGCAACAAACATGGAAGTGGAGTTCACCCCCCCACTTCCATGAGGACGTTGGAGGGAGGTTATTCATCGCTTGAAGATGTGAAACCAAATGGAAGAGACGCCTCTGTTTCCTTGTTGTTTCCTCCTGTATCCCCACGCCGTAAACCTGATCATCCATGTGTGCACATGCTGGCATGGCCTGACAATGAGTGAAATCCAGGAAGATCGAGGTGGCCAAATCCACTAAGACACAAAAAAGCATCAGGGATGCTCTTTGGGAATCCCCATTTTGACACACATGCAGCTGCGTGAAGAAAGCCAGACTGTGTTAAAGACCGTCTAAATCAAAGACATGCTGGATCCCTGTGCGTGCATTTAGACATGCTTAGCGCCTTTCAACGAATGAAGACCACCTGAACAACACATTGATTGCGGGCCCTGTTTCCGGTTCAGCTATTGTAGCCGTATCAACATTTCCTTTCTTGCCATTGCCATAAGGAGGCTGTTTGTCGTTTTGGAGGCTCAGGGGCCCCCTCAGATGCTGGAGAGCCAGGTTGCACAAGCAATCGGACTCCAGATCGTAGCCCATAAGCAGGTCATAGCCCTGACTCGCTTGTTGAAGGGCCTTCGTCGGATGCCGCACCAGGAAGATGTCGAAATCCAGCCACATCACGTCGAAGCCTCACCCACAGTTCGGTCGGTTCTGGAGGTGGGGGTTCTGGTGGTCATCTCTTGCACTTGGTGGGTCTGGCAGTGTGTGCCTTTGGGTGCTCGAGTCTCCCGCGGAGAAGGGTAGCAATGCAAGACCCTAACAGAAGTCACTGGCCACCCACGTCCAACAGTTTTCTATCTCACTGATCTTTCGGAGCACGCAGAACGTCGAACCTTCGCGGACTCCATTCACACGCCACGCCACGCAGGTACGCAGTGCAGCGCGAGCCCAAGGGTCTAGACGTCTTTCTTTTTCAAACAACTTTTGCTATTATTTTTTGAATCTATTTTCGTCCTCCACACGTCTGAAGCAATCGCGCAGTTTGGGCGCTGTCATGGTGAAAAAAGCCGGAAAACGTCACCCAGTGAGCCACATGATTGGGGCTTTCTTAAAACAGGACACCTCCCATTGGCACCTCTCCAAGGAAAAACCCATGAACTCCACTTGCCTGCAAGAATGCAGGGAGGGTAAGAGTCAGGACCTGGATAGACCTGGTGACTTGACCTGCAACGCCCTGGGTATTGGATCCTGGCGGACACTCCCAATCCAAACCCATGAAGCTGGGAGGATGTCCACAACATCTTTCGCTCCAAAAACCTCACTCCAAAGGCTGCGAACGAATTCAGCTTTTGCGTGACGCCGCCACCTGCGGGGCGGTTGTACCCCACACCCGGCCACACCCGGCCAAACCGAGACGACGGCGAGTTGCATCGCCAAGAGACCCAGTTGCAAAGCCACCAACAAGAGAGTGTACTTGTTCCTCAGCTCAGCGATGCCCTTTTTGACCTTCGTCCCATCTCAGACCGGCCTTTGGCTGGCGGCACCCCTGTGGTGCCGGATCTTGTTGGACACCCCAGCGGGACCCATTTTCCGTGCCCTCCCAAAAAGCGCGGTGGTTCTCGCAGTGCCCAGACATTTGGATCCTCTGACCCGAGACACCCACCCCACCCTACGCTTCGACGCTTCCAAGCGTCAATACGCTGACCTGGCCACGCACACAAAGCCCATGGTGTTGCAGGCAGAGCTCATAGGCCGTGCTATCCAACGTGGCCTTGGTGACGCGACGTCGCTACGAGGCGGGGCTCCTGGCCTTACTACGACCTCCACAAGGTTCGCTACGATCGGAGCTAGTAGCTACGACCTCCACAACTTTCATCCAACACCAAACCAGCTGTAGCTTCGACCCACGTCGGCACCGCCATCCTTGAAGCTCTCTCTTCTGCAGAATTCCCCCCCCAAATCTTATGCCAAACAAAACACGCCTGCATCATGAAGCCACGACCTCACCGTTCACCGTTTCGATCCCGTTTCATTCCCCCTCCCGCGCCCTGCGCGTGAGCGGCCAGGACGAGGTTTCGGAGCTGCAGGAGCTTGGCGCGCGAAGCCCAGCCGGCGATGAAGCGGTTCATGGAACCATAGACCATGGTCACATACACTAATCCTGACGAAGGAGGCGTCACACAGACTCTCACAGGTGACAACCGCGCCCATCACGTAGTGACGGCCAACGAGTACGGCACGAGACGTGACGTGGCGACCGTGCAGACGGTGGCAGCTCAGTGGGTGGGCCAAGAGGTGGTTTCGGCTCTCTGCCGGCCTTGGTGAGGTAGCAAGAACTTGGAAGATGAACACCCTCAATAACAAGCAAGAACCGCTAAGCAGAACACCCTCGCTTGGCTTGGTAGCAAGAACACCCTCAATAACACCCGCGGTATCTGGAAACATGTGCTTCACGCTTTGTCTTCTTCACTCAGCGTTGGATCAAAAGAGTTGCCCAGTCGACCCGTGGGAAACCACAACGGGCAGTCCAGCCCATCTGTCGAGGGTCTCCACATTCAATAACAGCCATACCGCTGGACTGCGGAGGAGAAACAGACCCAAGAAGTAAAAAAAGAGTCGGATCCACCATGCAAAATGATACCAACACCTTCGACTGGACTCCATATGGGTATAGGTATCTGGAGCTGTCTGGAGCCTTCGCCCTCGCGGTGGAGGAAATGGAACGAATCCGTCGACCACAACCCGTGATGGATCCCATGGCCCTTCCCGTGACACAGTGACAGTCTTAGACTTCCCAGTGGCTGGGCTCATCGTCTCGCAGTGCCCTGCGAGACGATACGCGGGGAGGCTGTGGCACACGCGAGCGCGCGTGGGAGGCTGTGCTTGCTAGCCCAAGGCCTGTAGAGCTGTGGGGAAGTTTTCAATTCAGGGGCCCTTCAAGCAGTGGGATGCTGCTCAAGACAAACACACCCCAACATTACACGATAGGTTGGGCGTGCCCTCCTTGTTGGCCCGAATAAGGATGATGGTAAATGCCTCCGGTGTTTGAACGCTTCACCAGGCGCTTCTTCTTTCACAACGGATGTTGACTCAACAGTTTCGGTCCCTCTTCCACAGTCCTTTTCAGCATGAATGTTCGGTTCATTCTTTTTCACCGCCCTCCACGCTGCATCACGCGTCGGCGCGTCACGCGTGCGCGGAAGGCGCCTGAGCGCTGTCTGCAGGACCCTGTGCAAGTCGCCAAAGGACTCACTGTGGTGCCTGGAGAACACCGCGAAGAACCAACGATGCCCAGTATGAGACGTCATGGTCTGGCCGGGAAAAAGGGTTGCTCACAAACTTGGGGCGATGGTCATGGATGGTCACCATGATAGATTTGGAGCTTTCAAGCTTTCTTGGATGTGTTTGAAAAGACATCAACTTATATAAATGGACCAATCTGGCATCCAACAAATTTCCATTGGTTGAAGCCAGGAACCTGGCGCAAGAACTTGGACCCCCAGCGGCATGCGTACAGCATCGACCCAAAGAGCCACACTTCAGCAAGTACGGCAGATGGTGAATCATCCCCACAGGTTGTGCCAAGCCTGATCCGGTAGATGCTGCCCCACAGGTTTCACCTTCTCTTTCGGCAACGTCGAAGGTTTTTGGCTTTCTGGCCACCTCAAAAAGAATGGCTCATGGACTCTGGGTCAGGCTCACACCAAATGATCGTTGCATGTCCTGTCGTAACAGGAATGATCGTTGCCCCATCCCCCCCCCACCCCTTACGATCGCTTCGCTTCGGCGGTGTGGGTTTCGCTTAGCGCGCCTGAGCACCTGTCCCTCGAGGAGCTTCAGATGGTCCTCCCTGGGAAGCTGTTGGAGCCAAGGCCCCTCCGCGCGCCAGGGCAGACCGCCCAGCTCCTGGCGAAGGTGGACATCCATCCACGCGTCCTCCAGCGATGCCCATGAGCCACTGTGAAGCATTGAGAGCCCTCTTTTTCTGCCATGCGTGATGCTGAAGTCTTCGAAAGGAACTGCTCTCAGGGCCCCTCCCAAACCTCCTTTAGGCCCTCCTCATTTTTGACCCCAAGACCTGTCGCTCCACGCTCCGCGCGCTGCGTCCGCTCCTGTGCCGTGAAGTCCAAGCGGAAATTGTGCCTCCTGCCGTGGGGGAAGCGGAGGATACAGCGCCCAAACGCTCCTAGTAGTAGTAGCCTCAAAACCCTAGTAGCTTCTGCCTTCACCCTAGTAGCGTCCTTGTTCCTATATTGGTCCCCAAACAGATAGAAACAGTTTCCAATACTATTTGTGATGAGAATGTCATGACTGGACCGCCTGCCGACCCGGTCTAGACCCGGGAAGGAGGGACGGGTCGTCTCTTTGTTGAAGAAATCCATTGCACTTCAAAAGGACGTGTGACAGTGGATATTAATACAGCTCAGAATCAAGAAGACATGGAGAGTTTGGTGACTAAGCCAAAGCCCATTTCGTGTCTGCTAGAAGATCTCAACAAACCTATTGACTTTACAGGGTCTAAGCACACATTGTCACCCCAAACATAAAAAGTAGTAGTGGCAGCGGTATTGCCATTCAGGGCTGAGAGCAGTGTACCAAACGCTCCAGTTGCATCGCGCAATGCAAAGATTGCCATGCGTGCTTGGAGGCCATCGCTTCTAGGCGTGCTTTTCAGAGGCATCGAGCGTTCCTTTCTAAAAGCCCTTGAGGCCTTCCATGTCGAGGACTGCGAGGTCTTGGAGGGAATGATTGGTTTGTGGTCGAGTCGGTGTTGGGCTTATCCACTCCAACTCACTAACATAGAAGTGGACACCAGTCTGTTTGTAGAGGAAATTCGTCTTCCCAAAGGCCATGCCATCCACTTCCATGTTGGTAGAAGCCCCAGGGGGGCGCCGCTTTTCCATTTGAGTGGAGAATCAACTTCCTGAAGGAGGCCCCTGCACTTCACCAACTCTATACGGCTATGCGGGGCAGCAAAGGGTGTCCCATACCACTTCAGATGCCATGTGATGCAGAAGAGGCTTTATATCGGATCTTTGTATGGCTGCTAGGGACTGCCCATGCCTCGGTTTCCTATCCTCCCAACACAAAAATCGTTTGGTACTCCCCGAAAGGAAGAAAAGAGATCTTCCACCCCTCCCACCCCCAACCACCCCTTCCCAAAAAGAAGAGCAGCTGTTGGAGTTGACAGTTGGAGTTGAAGAGTCCTTCTTTGAGAAACACCCAACACCCGGTGCCTTTTTGGGAAAGAAGACGCCCCAACACATACAACCAAACGCCCCCAGGCCCAACCGGCACCGCACCGCACCGCTTGTGCTGAGCCGGCCGTTCGGTGCGGCCTTAAGGAGGTGAAGTGGTGGAACAACTCGAAGATCCTCCAGTGGCTGGCGCCCAAGAGATGCAAACCTCGGCGCTTGGCCACCCGCTTGGCCACCGGTGGGTTGGTTGGTGGGTGGGTTGGTTGGTTGCGCGATGTGTCGGTGAGGTCCTTTTGGCGACCCATGGAACTTTTCGTGCTTGAGCTTGTGGAATTGCCTGCTTGGAGCTTCTGCTATCCGCGCGCCAAGGGCAGCAGAGCGGTAGAACAATCCCATGACGCGGTAGGTCAATTGGTTCTTTTGGTCAATACCAAGGAGCTGCATGCACATAGACCTTTTTTTGGGGTGAGGCTTTCTCCCCTATTCTGACGATCCACTTTCACCTTGAATGGTCAGTCTCCGTTCGCACACGTCCAACCCGCTTGGATAACTTAGGTAGGTGAATCAGCTTGCTTAAGAGGTAAAAGGCTGGCGGAACGTCGCTCCATAGCGGAGCGAAACACCAAGTCCGTCGCCGTGAACGGGACGACCAGCACGGTCTCTTGAGACATCCGTTCACCTCCTAGCCATTCATGGCCTCCAACCTACTAGCGAAATGGAAGGCCACCATCGTCCGTCGAAAACGAAACGACCAACCCCAAAAAACCCAACGAATGCACCCTTCCATCCCCGCACCGATGCAAACTGCGTGGTCTACGCACACCGCGCACGCAGCACGCTACGCAACGCATCCCGCCGCGCCGGTCTGACCCTGTGGTGCCCGGGCTCTCGTAATGGATCCACTGCACGTACGGCCTCGACCGGTGCCACCCAGGAGCAGCAGCGACGGGGAGCGCCGCGAACGAAACGCGCCCTAAGCGTAGAACATCTGAGGCGTCTGGGTCTCGGTGGAAAGGGCTTGAACTTGGAGTTAGTCATTCAAACATAGCTAGTGAGTTTGAATTCTTGGCGGCAATGTGGAAACATCACCCCAAAATCACCACATCCTCCCCCCCCAAAAAAGACCGCCGCTCCGCTGATCACTCCCCCTCTAGTCCCCTCACCCAGCGCGGGTCAAGGACAGATGTTTCTTCGCATCACCGACCGGTCCGGGTTTGCCACGAGCAGAGCGCTGCCAGGGCTTCCAGCAAGAGCTCCTTTCCCGACGACGACCACCGCGCGCGCCAACACCGCGCGAGCATTGAGGAAGTGGATCCAGATAATGAGGAAAGCCGTTTTACATGAACTTTGGGAGTGTGGTCATAGTTCTGAGGGATTACCACTTCATCAACTGACATGGAGGACTGCACGATCTTCTTTGGGGTGCAGCTCTTGCTTCGATGGGTTTGAGTGAAAAAACCTTTTTGAAGCCCTTGTCTGGGACCCGGGATTTGCCTTGTCCTTGGTATATCACTGACTGGTGAGCCTTAAAACCTCTTTTGCAATCTACCTGAGGATGACTATGCAGTTGACTGTTTATGATATTCAGTGCAATTGACACCCCTTTGACCCTTTGCTATATTCATCTAGATTCTGATGCTTGCAATGGGTAGATGTGTGAAGAAAAAACACACATGTACTTTTGTGGGCTGGTTTTGGTTGGAGAGGCTGGAGGTGAAGGCAGGGCTTCTCTAGGGCCTCCATCGATTCAAATCAATCTTTACGGGTGAGCTGTACTGCAAGGCCCAGGGGGTCTGATGTGCTCCAAGCTGACCTGCCATCCGAGTGGAAAGCACCTGGTGTAGCAACTCAAAAGCCACCCAGATGGTTCAACCCACGGATTCTTGTACTTGGATGATGCGTTGGCACCCTCGATCTTTACATCCCTTCCGAACCCGACAGAGTCGAACATGTTTCAACTCAGGAACTTGACACCTGAGCGCCATCAACTGGGCAGAGTGCCTACTGCGGAGTATGATCTTGGACTGGCCACCCTGGTCCTGCACACCTGCATCCCTGCAGTCCAACTTGGGTACACACCAATCCTTGCGTCTTGGTGATGGATTGGAGTTTTGTGAAAAATGCTCCGTTCAACTTGGAGGTCCATCTGTTTCTTCAGACATGCCCACCCCCCAATCCTCTCCACATATCTTCTATTTCACTCTCAGCACACACTGCCTATGGGAATCTCCATTCCTTCCCCATTGCCCGAAAAAAGACGACCTCGCTCCGACCGGCCCACGCGACGTGCTCCTTTCTCACGCCCAGCACGTCGCCACGCGCATGCGGATCGATCGCTCCGTCGGATCGGAATCCTGTTCATCGCAATCTTCGACTGCGTGGATCTCCAGAAACTCGTGCATCGCGCCCCTCCGGCCGCCACGGCCGGACCGATCCACCCAGTCCGGGGAGAAGAAGCCGGGCACTGTGGTGGGTCACCCGGGAAGCTTTGGAACACAATGAAGCCTTTTTTTTGCAGCAGAGCTCAAAAGCCGGGGGTTCGAGATGTAGCAGGTAGGATTTGCTGTTTTTGGGACCCTTGAAAGTTGATGAGCGGACCCATGTGAGAAAGGGACTCAGATCTTACGGGACATCCCAGCAGGGGCTGTTGAAACATCTAGGCAGGCTTCCAACACCCTCAAGGACTATTCTATTAGTGACGTTTCACCCAAACAATTGGGGCTACAAAACCAAGGTCTTACTTTTATTTGAAGCTGATAAACTGCCAGGTCGAACATATCTGGCTTGCCAGGCCTTCAATCCCTTCAGACTCTACACCAAACTGTGGCGGACTACGAAATCACTTGGAAAATAGGAAAAAAACATCAATTTGGGAACCCCACCGCTTTTCAACCAGTTTTGTTATGTATGCCCATCCGGTCCAGACCTCATCCGGGGTTCCTCTAATCCGTCCGACCACCAGCTCGTTGAGCTCCCAACAGCACCCCGCCTGTAGTTCTCTGCGATCTGCGCTAGGTGGTCGTAGGAGTCCTCGATCTCCTGCGACTGCTGGAGAGATGAGTTTAAATTGAAAAACAATCTTCTTTGGAGATACTAACAGCAATGGCCTCCTCCCTAGTAGCGATGGCCAAAAAGGACAACTGACACCAGGTTGGGTGATTCCACCGTTCCGACCATGTTCTGCCCATGAAAGAGCATTTTCAGTGACATATTATAGAAACTCTCCTTACCCAACTTTTCATTCAATCTCCGTGCCCCGGTGTTGCCCACCCAAAAAATCACCACATCGCCCCCCCAAATTCCCACGCCGTACTCGCCCGGCTCGCCCGTCCTCGATGAGGCGTCCACTCAGCTTCCCACCGCCGCCCACGCTGCGGATCCACTCCGAGACCTCTGACAGCTCGGCAGATCCACCAGCGGTCAGGGCCTGGTGGCGGCTGAAGAAGGGATGAAGTTCGGGTTAAGCAGTGGATGACCAACCCCAAGCAGTGGATATCAGTGGATCTGTCATCTCTGGTGGCGGCTGCGAAGCTTTCATCAACTCTTCCATCGATTCTTGCACCCGAATCCACCTGAATCAACCTGCATCGACCAGGCGTTTTTCGCCTTCCACCGTTCTTTCGCTTTTCTCACCTATCCCGTCGTCCCATGTGTGTAGAATTTCCTAAAAAACTCAGAGGTCAAAGCCCAAGTGCTTGAGACCTACGTTATTCTTTCAACAGAAAAGGGAATTACTGAGTACACTGATTTACTGGAAGAAGGTAACTTGCAGCTGCTGATTCTGGCTGTCTCGATTGGCAAGACTAGCCATTAGGCCCATTTGAAACATCTCCTTTGGTCCCCGCGTCTTTTTCCGTTTCACCAACTCTTTTTCCCATGGATGAGACGCTCCATGAAAAACCTGAAAGCACATCACCTGATCATCACCTGAGCCTTTTGACCACTTTGGACCTGCTCTTCCGGAGTTCTTGGCACTAAAAAAGAGCATGCGCCCCTGGGGCGCTCGCCGCATGTGCTGCCGGCGCCGCGGATCGCGCGCGCTGCGCTCCGTCCTCCACTGGCTTGGCCATGATGCCCGGTAGCTCCAGTGGCGGGGCCTGTGGATCAAGCACCTGAGACGTGCCCGGCACCAGCGGAAGACGTGGAAAGGCATCATGAAAATGAACACCGCCCAAACATGCATGAAATCAATGAATGGGGCTGTTTTCTCAAAAGGACAAAACCCTAACTTCAAAGCACAAACACAGCTTAGAGGCATTCTCTGATGGCCAGTGGAGGTTATTGCTCTTAGAAGGTAGGGCCATCGCTACTAGGTCGGAGGCCATTTCTAGTGGGTTGGAGGCCATCGCTACTAGGGTGGATGGCTAGTGTGCCACCGATGCATCTTCCGTTGTTACCCACGTTTGGTCCGTCCGATCCGCTCGGGTCTCCGCGTCGCTCGGGTGCGCCTGCAGCGCCGGTGCGTGCTCGCCCGGCAGGAAGGCGACCACATCGTTCAGCTGCAGCAGCGTGGGCTGATGAGGCTTCAACTTCTTGCCGTTCAGCCAGGTGCCGTTCGATGACAAGTCGCACACCAGCAGCGAAGGCTCTCCCCTGAGACGAGCATGAAGATGCACAATGATGCACAGGATCGCCCCAATTCCATCCCATTTAGGAGTATACGGGGAGGATGCTTTTCGGGCGCCACGCGACCTGCCCCCAATCCATTTCGCTTGGTGGACGCTCCACGGACCTGGCCCGGACGGTGGACGCTCTGGGTGGCCGCGGCCTGGGAGTCACTTGGAGGCTGAACTCTGCGTGGCGCTTGGACACGTGCTGCGCCTGAAAAGCTCGGTAGACGGTAGACTAGCTGGGACTCTTGATGATTCGTCGACCACCCCGCATGGTTTTCAACCTCTGGGGGGGCTCTATCAACAGTCCACCGGTCCTGGTGTTGTCTTGGTTTCGCTCTTCCGATTTTCTGACACGGACCTGTTGAGTGAGAACCCAGCTGCCGAACACCGAACACCCGGAACACCATCGGAGTGGCCGGCATTCGCTGGACGTGCTCCGTGCAGCGCAGTTACGAAGGGTTTGTATTTTTGTTTCGATGAACGGGTTTGCTCAGCAGGTTTGCTCAGAAGGGTTTTCAGAGAATGAAGGCCCTGACTGTCATGCTGCTCCATCTTTTGGTATATGGGAACCAAACCCATGCGCAGGCCCGACAACTCCTGCAATTCGTTGGGTCCTCCTGGGGACCGGTCCAGCTGAAGCATGTGTCCTGTACAACCGGTGGATGTCCAAAGCATTCACCACCGAATAGTGAAGCAAAAGAGACATGCCTTGGGTCTAGCCCATTACCAGCAAGAATGGATAGTAAGAGTGGATGATGATGGTTAGGTTGCAGGCCTTTTGCTAAATAGTGATATTCTTGTTTACCGACCGTTACAGGTTTTTAATAGGACAGACCCAAGACATGCCAATCGTACTGGTCATTTCAGTTTGCTTTTCGGAACGCAGTGGCTTCCACCGATGTCGCCGTCGGTGACACAGCGCCCGGGCGAATCGACCCATTCGATGACCCGGCAATACTGATCGATCACTACCAGCACCCTCCAACAGGCTGTTAGTTGAGGGTTGTTGGACCCTAACAGGTCTCAATTGGTGACCTGTTGGAAGGTGCTGAAATCGCGTAGCGACATCGCCCCCACTGAAATCTACTGATATGTGAAAGCTTCTTGGAGCACAAACATGCCTGAAGAGCCAGGTCTAAATGGGCAGGTGGTGTAACCACTAGCCCAGCATGCACCATTGATACATTTTGCATCAACTTTGTTCACTTGCCAGCATCAAACTCACAGGCCGTTCCAATATATGTTCTCCGGCATCAAACCATCCCGACCCAGGATCACCCCCCCAGCCGAGCCGACACCGGT